CACCTAGACAGCTGGATATGCACATGTAAACAGTACCTAGACAGCTGGATATGCACATGTAAATAGCACCTAGACAGCTGGATATGCACATGTAAACAGTACCCAGACAGCTGGATATGCACATGTAAACAGTACCCAGACAGTTTGTACTTTGCTTGGATTAGATAGTTATAAGCCATGATAGCTAATACTGCATTTTCATATGTCAAGTGTTCTGTTTCACCCAGTAAATCAATGTTTATTTTGTAAGAATTTGACATAGACTAAAAAACAATATATGTACTATTATTGTCATTATGTTACATTTAGATGTGAATAAGCGAAACTAAATACGAGTCCTGGATATCAATGTAACATAATGTGTCCGTACTTACAGCTGGCAGTATGGACGCTAATGGCAACATTGATATGGAAACACCACGTAGAATAAATTTTACTCGTTGTTGGGTTTTCGTTTCTGGTCCTCTTCGTAAATTCCACATCTGCAGACAAAAATAGTTATTATAAAAAAAAAAGAATTGTATATTGCTGCATTATTAGTAAATTTTTTTTTAAGAGCAAGGAATCATTTGCCTAACTTTGGGATTGCAGATCAATGGATATTGCTAGAGGTTTCTATTCAGTTATTTTTATTCAAACTTAAGACATGCAATAATTTAAAGTATGCAGCAGTCGTGGTTTGTTATGGCTGCATGCATTTAATTTGTTTGTCAATAAACAAAACTTTTGACCCATGTATGCTTAATTGCTATATATATGCGTAGTATGGGACCTGCATTGAACACACACTGTTGTGATGGCTACAGTCCATTAAATGGAAAATTAGCACTGAAAAAATGATGACATTACTAGCACTGACACTCAAAAAATGATAACATATCTCTTGCACTGACACACAACGAATGATGACATATTTCTTGCACTGACACACAACGAATGATGACATATTTCTTGCACTGACACACAAAGAATGATGACATCATTTGTACTGAGACACAAAAAAGATGACATCTCTTGCACTGACACACAAAGAATGATGACATATCTCTTGCACTGACACACAAAGAATAACATATCTCTTGCACTGACACACAAAGAATGATGACATATCTCTTGCACTGACACACAAAGAATAACATATCTCTTGCACTGACACACAAAGAATGATGACATATCTCTTGCACTGACACACAAAGAATGATGACATATCTCTTGCACTGACACACAATGAATGATGACAGCATTTGTACTGACACACAAAAAATGATGACATATCTCTTGCACTGACACACAAAGAATGATGACATATCTCTTGAACTGACACACAAAGAATGATGACATATCTCTTGCACTGACACACAAAGAATGATGACATATCTCTTGTACTGACACACAATGAATGATGTCATCAAATCCACTGCAGTGTAAGCATTTCCTTCCAAATCATTCTAATAATCACAAATATGGGATTCGGCAAGCAAGTACACTACACAGATATTCGTGAACACAGATTGACATCACACTTTTCACCTATGTGGCTTTCACACAGAGGAAAGTGCGGTGATACATACAGGTGTATCATTAATGGAGGTAATTCACTTGAGTCTGATGAAACGCTGCGAACTACCATTTTAGATTAGGGACACAAATATTTGTTTATATTGTTTGGGTATTTTACAAACATTGCATATGTTGCTATGGGTAACATATTGAAGAAGACTTTAAAAATTGGCACCTGGCAAAATCACTGCCATTTTTTCACTAAGTCATGTTACATACATGTAGTGCATGCTAAATCATATAATCAAAAGTCTAAATTACCTCAATTAGGGCAAGATTACTAATGCACAGCATTGTGGGTAATATTAGGTAGGAATCGGGTACAGTCACGTTATTGAACCATCCAATCACAAGTCTTAATTACCTCAACTAGGGCAAGATTACTAATGCACAGCATTGTGGGTAATATCAGGTACAGTCATGTTATTGAACCATCCAATCAAAAGTCTAAATTACCTCAATTAGGGCAAGATTACTAATGCACAGCATTGTGGGTAATATCAGGTAGGGATCTGGTACAGTCATGTTACTGAACCATAGAGCACCTTGGTTAAGAAATTCTGGTATAAAATCCACATCCATTTCTGTAACAGAGAACAAAGAAAGTGTTTGGTACTTATGCATAACAATTGTCACCAAATACAGTGATTCAAACTTAAAATAAACTTCATTGATGGAATGATCATAGCAAAGATACCGGTATATAAGACTAGGATAGATACGCGTGTAATATGCGATGAAGATTACACTTGAATTGAAAAATCGCAAATAACCCTACATATCTAGAATCTCAATTAAAATTAATGAGTCTGAGACAGATTCGTGTTCATTTCATACAATTTTGGTAGTGACAGAGCTTATTAGTAAATTGTTTAGTACATGTGTTCTGTATTTTTGAATGCAGCAATTATCTCGCTCATTGCTGTTCACGTAATCAAACATGCTTTCATTTCTGTGATGCCATTGGTTAGAACTACACAGAATGTGTTCGCTTTTGAAAGTTTGCATATCGTGAGAGTTCTCTTCTCATGATATCTTCACCACATATCATCTTACATTTTGTATTGCCGTAACTAATTTTCATAGTAATTTGCATAAGAAAATCTTTTCAATTAATACGAATAAGAGAAAGTATGGTTACCAAAATCAGAATTTATTACATTCAAAACCAAATACGCAGGAAACAACAATTTATGTAAACTTACGTGTTCCAAAAACAGTTGGCGACCCGCCAGACATCTGACCTAAAGCTTGTGTCATTTCCATCCATGTTATAACATGTACTGAGACAGGTATAAGTGAACGCCATGGGTTACACTTCTCAGACTTGTGATAATGTCTTACAATGTCTTTTACCTAAAATAAAAACACTATGAATATTTAAAACTACCTGTCATGTGTTATAATGGCTATATTGTGATTGAAATGCATGCTACAGAAAGATGTGAGGGTGAGAAGACAAATTTACTGGATTACAACATTTTCATTTAGATTTTTTTAGCAAACCTCTTTCGAAATTTTTTCCCGCCACCATTTTGGTACAACATTATACATCCTTTCATGTATTATTTCAAAATTTCGTTTGATCATATTGGAACTAATGGACATAATTACCTATTGACTAGAGGGATTTATCAACATTTCAGAAACAATTTGAAAAAATCGAATCTGAAATCTACATTCTTAACACATTGCTGTCTATGGTGATGAATTTAATGGATGCACTGTATTAAGTCAAAGTCGTGTGGAATCTAATGTGTTGAAGTGTATCCTCGGGGGCGGAGCTAGGTCACAAAACGTTCCACGTTGCTAAGACGCGCACACTGTATATGCATTTCTATGAGCTCTGTGCACACTGCTGTGGAACGCCGGTTGAGCCGGTGAAAATTTGAGAAAACTACACAAACTCAACTTTGAAGCGATCCTAATCTTGTTACACTGTTCAGGGGAGTCTCAACAACCATCCCAAAGTATCGTTTTCTGCGAGTTTTTGGCCTTTGTTTTCACCGCGAGGGTTGCCAGGCGGTGAAAATGCCCGGATGTCCGCCCCTGAGGATTGGTTCTAAATTTGATACAATGAAGCATAAAGCTGTACCTTAGCTTATAATGGATCTATAAATAAATTACTGTAAATACTGATTATCAACTCTCATACAAATTCAATTATTTAATTGTGATTGGCTCAAGAGGTCCACATTGTCTATGCCCATAATGCATGTGCATGCCTTCACATGGCAGGGAAACTGTGACCGCCCACTCATTCCTTTTCACCACCAGACTTTCTCATCCAAATTTTTCTGCACTTTTTCCCTGTATTCTTCAATATTTCTGGAAATGAACCCTAATCTTGGAGCCAACAGACAAAATTTTAGTAAATTTTCAGTTTTTACTCAAGAAATTTTGCTATTTTTGTCCAAATCAATCTGAAGGAAAGTGCAGACTATAAACAGAACTATTTTGTGAATTTGTGATGAAAAGAGGGAACTGGTGGTGAAAAGGTTAAAACGTAGCGCTTGCTGATTGCTACCCGGTAATGTTGAACTACTGAATTGGTCAATTCAAAATTTAACATACATTTTGATTCATAAAAATGTACATTAATAAAAAAAATTTAATGACCCCAGCTTTATGTCGTTCACTGTATGACTACGGTAATTAATTTAGTTTTAATTACTCATGTAATTTTGGGAGAAAATACCTCATTTTGGTAACGTTCTGCTTTGTAACTTTCCTGCCATCCTTCATTTTTAGCCATAATCTCCAGCTGTTGTTTGACAATTTCTACTTGTCCGTTTATTTTTGGCTGCGTTATCTCCATCCTGGCTAAAATCCTTTGCATCATGATGCCAAGCGGAAGATGCAGCACTGTTCGCATGGCGATGGTCGAAGCAATAATCGCCAACCACCAAGGAAAATGAGTGGCATTATGTATATATTCAATCCATTCATACATTATTTCATCCACTGTGGGAACGTATATCATTTGTGAACTGTCGGGCAGTCCTGATTCATATCTTCTTTGTTCAAATGCATATGGCAAAGTCGCGCTACATGGCAAACAGGAATTCACTTTACACCATGATGGCTTTACTTTGATGGCACACAACCTTGTTGAACTGTTAGCACAAAATGTAAGACTTCTGCAGCTGTTTATTCTCTGTGTATAATAATAAAAAAAAATATTGTTTGTATTTATCATAAGAACTAAGTGCAGTTGTGTTTTGATTGACAGAAAACACCTCAGCTGTTATTCTGTCATATACATGTGCAAATGCTATGCTCAAAGATGTCTGAACAGAATAGACGTCACAAACAATATCATATCATACATAAAATGATGGTTTTAAGGTAGAGATGCAGGTTCGTGGGCACTTGGGAGTGAAATTTTTTTTTTGGCTTTTTATTATTCAAACAGTCTTGGCTATAGACTGTTAAAATTTTGTGAAATTGTGAATAGTGGAACATACTGAAAAAACGATTTTAAAATATAGATAACAGGTGCAAACATTATCTCTTTTGAATGCTTAGCAAGATTTAGCAAGGCTGTACATAAATAATTAAAAAAGAAACATGGTTAAAAAAAGAAATGACAGGATCTCCATATTATGCACTATATTTAACTTTTAACAAAATGATAATACATTTAAATTTGGAACTGTTACAGCCATTTTAATTATGAGCATTAGCAAACTTCTTACTGAGTGAATTGTTATGCAAATTAGCAATTATCTCAGCTTCTTTTTAGTGCACATCCCAGAACTTTAAAAAAAAAATAGCTCCTGGACGCTTTGACCTTTTGTTTTCAGATTTTCACAAATGATTGACCATGTGTTTATCTTCAAAACGCCGTCGGGCATTGTTTTTGATTGAACAGTGTTACAACAATCATACAGACAACTAGCCAGCTGCCTGGGTGTTAATTTATGCATAAAATTGAAGTAGTGAAATTTAAGCTGCTGCCCTGCAAAATTGACAACTGGTAGACAGTTTTCAAGACGGCACTTTCTTCATAGTAAAGAGCTATACCCATAAACCAATTTTGACAGGAAACAGAAGCATGGTCTAGAAGCTAATTTTTTTTAAATCACTTTTGACCAAAAAAGCACATTTTTGTGCATATTTCAAACTACAGTGTCCATAAAAAAATACTAACAAAATTTTAAAATTCATACAATAAGCTTTCCGAAAATATAGTTTTGTTGACAAGGGAGGTCATCTTGGTTTCCTAATTACTAATTAATATACCTGTCAGGGATGTTTTTAGCCAGCCAACTGTCTACCTGTCATTTTAGACAAGCACTCCAGATTTTAAACAGGTACACAATTTCATTTGATATGCAAAATTTCTACAAAGCTGTCCAATTTTGATTGAAAATTATTAGTAAATTATAAAATAACCATAAATAGTAATAACGAAATTGATTGAAGTCTTTGGACTGCTATCTTTCATTTCAAAAAAGAAGTTTAGACAGGGACTTCCTATTTTTCGGCTATAACCTTGAAAGTAGGGGACGTTCAATTTGCTATATACTGTAGTGTAGTTTGTCTTAGTGTTAAATAAATATTATTATAACTTCATGAATTCTTAATTACCGGTATGCAGTCAGAATTTTCTCATTGCTGTCAGCCATTGCTAATAGATTTGTCCATTGGAATGAAAATATTGTCATCGTAAACAATGATAAAATACTTTTAGAAAAAGTATCCTACCTCGGCAGTAAACTTCAGCAAATGTTTTCTCGTTCGGAGAACGCTCACCCTTGAGCTTACCAGGTTCGCGAACATGACGCCAATCATGCGATCAATTCACACTTGGAAAAAGTGAAAGTCTTTGAATACAATGTACGAATATGGTTTGAGTTTAAGGCTACATCAAACTACGTATCAATCCATTATCCAACAATTTATGGGGGTAATAACGTGGTTTGGGTTTTCCGATCACGACCAACAGATCTTTTACATGGAGGCAGCCATTTTGACTCCTGTTTGTTTCCGACTTCTTTTCTCCAGGCTGGAGCACATCCTGCTGGTCGCCACCTCTAGAGGTCGCTATCGTCTATCAAACAACTACTGGCATCCCCCGCAGCGCCAATTTGGTAAGGATCCGATTTAGATATACTGTAAAGGGGGTAATTATTCACTGGGTTTTAATTTAGCTTATTTCGCTGACTGGAAAAATGCGCTAAATTAAAACACAGTGAATATGTAAAATTTAGCATAGAACACATTATCTAAATGACGAAACCGTGAATTTAAAACCCACTGAATATGCCCGAAATGGTAAATCAGTGAAATTTAAACCCAGTGAAAATTAGTCATTTTACAGTAGGTTAATTTGTTATGATACTTAAATAAACAAAACAACTTAACAAAAATATCAAAGTTACACATTATCGCACTTACAGCATTCTTCGAATCCAATATGACAATGCTGAGAATTCATTATTCTTAGAAATCACAGTCACCAGAATTTAATAAATATGGTTTAGGTTTTTTTTGTTGAAATGATTTTTCTTGCAAACAGAGGTTTAATTATCGTGTGATAATATGAAACATGACGTCATAAAAACCTCTAATTCTGATAATATTGTATAATGCTCCTGTTTTCAACAGAGAGACGGACACTGGCCAGGACAGATTTCAAATGTGTTGCTTACTCGGAGCATCTCGATTTCGTAGACAAATAAATGTATCTGTAAGCAGTAACGGTGTTAAAAGCTGCATATTGTGGTTGTTATATATTCGGGGCTGTCAAGTGAAATATTCCCTTGTATTGTGTGTTTTTTTATCATTTTTTAAAACCACGTGTATGTTAGCCTGACAAGGTGGCGTGCGCCCTCCGCGGTGCTCCAAACCAAACTCACGCCTACATGTCAGTCTATGTTTATGTTTACGAGAAAACAAACAAACACTGTTTGGGAATGGTTGCTAAGGACGTTGTTTTGAATTTAAGGATCACGTCTTCATAACCCACTGAATAATTTATACGGTACCCATAGCCGTGTACTCACCTCATTTTCAGCTCATTATTATTTTTATCCGTACTAACTTAGTTGCATAGCTTTGTTTACAGAAGTTTGTTTATAAACACCCGGATTTCTTCAGAAAAGAAACACTTGAATTCAGGTCTTTGCGCATTTGCCATGTATACGATTTCTAAAACACAACTGTCGAAATTGGAAATGTATAACTGAGCAATATATTAGATCTACCGTCGATTAACAAAGCTTAGACAAGAACGTATATGTTGTAATATTATCACTTCAAGGGTGGGCAAGTCGGACACTGAAATCCTGCAAGGTAGTCTCACTTGCCAGGCTCAAATCGTCTTACCAAGTAGCTTAGTGTGAATAATTGTACTACTGTACATCGGGTAAACTACAGTACTAGTATATTGTACAGGTCAGACTCTAGACTATAAGATAAATCATCGAGTTACTGTTACGAGGCGCGGAATGTAAATTTATTATTTTGTGTATACTAGAAGAAAACGTACTAATAATTCAAAATTACGTACGTATTGGAGGCCGTGGCGTGTGTGTTTTAAAATGATGTGTGCATTTAAAAAAAACCGGCGTGACTGTGCGTTTTAATGGTATGTGCTTTAAAAAATAATGTGTGTATATTAAATGGCGTGGGTGTTTTAAAAAACGTGTGTTTTAAAAATGACGTGTGAATTAAAAATGATGTGTGTCTTAAAATGACGTGTGTGTTTTACAATTATGTGTATTTAAAAAAAACGTGTGTGTTTAAAAGGACATGTGTATTTTACAAATAATGTGTGTTTAAAAACATAACGTGTGTGAAAAAACGACGTGCGTGTTAAAAAAATGACGTGTGTGTTTTTAAAAATGGCGTGTGTTTAAAAATGACGTGTGTGTTTAAAAATGACGTGTGTGTTTAAAAATGACGTGTGTGTTTTTAAAAATGACGTGTGTGTTTTTAAAAATGGCGTGTGTGAAGTCGAATGAAAATTTCGTGTGTAAAAAGAAAAAAACCGCGTGCATTAACTTATTTACGCCTGTGGGGGCGCTGTTTTGAATGATTTTTTTTCGTGTGTGTGTGCAAAAAACGCGTGCGTTAACCTTGTTACGCCTGTGGGGGCGCTATTTGAGAGATTTATTTCATGTGTGTGTTTAAAAAAATCGCGTGCATTAACCTATTCACGCCTTGCAATTTACATGTACATGTATACCAACGCGGGGGGGGGGGGGGTAGCTGGTACAGGTTACAGGAAATAATTACGGCATTTTACGTTTTTAAAAGAAATAAAATGAAACAGAACGTTTATAGTAAAAAATAGGTTTTTACACTTTACAGATAAAACAAATTCCTAATTACATTTTACGTTTTTATAATATATTTGATAATTTGAATTTAAGAATCAAAATTGGAAATTACAAATTTAATTTGGAAAATGTTTTATACGCTTACAAAAATTAATATTTTTGTAAAAATTACGGACGAATAAAATAGCTGATTACATTTGACACCTTGCCCATGTCTACGAATTTACGTTTTTTATTTATTTAAATTACATTATTACGAAAATAAAAACAATTGATTACAGCTTACGAAAATACCCCTTGCCGACCCTCAACGCACCACAAAACGAGGTAGCCTGAAATGCAGGCGTGTGTGGCGCCCTAATCGACCGAACGGTAACTGGAGAACCGCGGAGGGCGCAACTCACGCGACCTTGTCAGGCTAAGAACGAGGCTGTAGTAAGTTCGGTTGTACACTGCACGTCTTGGGAATCACTAGATTAAAACAATACGGGGCCTGGATACCCTTTCAGTTGTCATACGAAAAACACTTTTATTTCCCGTCCACTCTGGGGGGAATATCTGGAAGTCTACTCACGCGGTCACACGTGCTCGATTAATACATCATTGATTTCACAGGCATTGACTAATGCAGTATATACCGGTACATTCACACGCTACAGTACTCTGGGGAGATTATAATATCACGATGGTACATATTATCTGTGGTCATTACACTTAGGAATGGGGTCACATCATAGCTGCCTCTTCTCATACCAATTTTATTAATCAACATATCGTTCTCGTACATGGAAGTTGAAAAGTGTACCGTTTCGCGAGGATTATAACATTAAAGCGCGGTGGTCGTCGCGCAGCGCGTGTTCGAATTTCACGTAAATAAACAATGTGTTTTACACGCGTTGTATACGTCGCTATGAGTCCCTTTAACATTTGAAATGAAATTTATTTTTCCCGTGACATACTCAAAATATATTTCAAAAATCAGCCTTGAAATATCAGTCACAACATTCACATGTTCGTTAAGATTAAAAAAACGACCACACCAAAGATATAACGACACTAGCGACCTTTCTGTATATCATTCGTTTTTTAGCATTGTCAAAATATATTGTCTGTTCTTAATAGCAAGCTGGAAATTACGAATTCAGATTTATCCTATACTAACTCGCAAGTTATGGTGAATTACACGTGATGAAAAGCTAGACACTGGGATGTGTCGAAAAACGTACAGTGCCGCATTTGACAGTATTGGACAGTACATGTATTTGACGATGCTTGAATGGGATCAATTGAACATACCTATATCACACGCCTGAGGGCGCCATCATACAGACACACATATTCAACGAAAATGTCGATAAGCCATTGTTAATTTTTTTTCGCAAAAAGCTCTTATCTCGATTACATGTGATGAAAATAATTATATGTGGTTATAAGATGGGTACTTATAGTATAACTGTCATAACATTATTAACTTGGGTTGCTATGACAATACTGCAATCTGCATGATATATACACAAACACTTAGATGATAGGCATATTTTTTGTCAGGATAAAACTGAATCTATATAATTGTTTTTCTATGTTTGTGATCGAGGTTGCATACAATGCAAATATTGACAATTTGAGAAACGAATTTCATGAACAAACTGTTATGCAATTGTTATGTTTGAGAAGTGTGGCAGGTTGGAAGGGTAAACGAGAGGTGTGCATTCGACTGGTCGACGAGGCTGACTACAGGCAAGTTGGTGAAATAGCAAGCCAGTCAACCAAGTACTCGACGGGTCGACGAGACTGACTCCTGACAAGGGTATTGCATAGGTTCTGGTGAGAGTTTTATAACTGAGGTAATGTAATTGCCTTTGTTGTGATTACCGCGTGCAAGTGCAACAAGTGATTACTATAATGTCGTCCACGTGAACACGTGTATTGAGGTACGTTGCTAATCTAACTGAATTTTCGGTATGTGAATATTGTGTATGCCGAGTTTGCATAAATGGTGGTTCGTTAGATTTTACTACGTCTGTCTACAACAATTTAATGGAAACCGGGTTTGAATAATTACGCGAGTATATTACGGTTGCAGATATGGGACTGTTACGGAATGCAACATACTGCCTGAGGGTATACGGGGATGAGTGTTGCAACTACTGCTTGCGAGATTGCCATATTTGGATTAATTACTGTGTCGTCACTGTCGGGATTATTGTGTGCTTAGGATTAACCGCTGTGTATCGCAATTGTGTCGTTATAAGGAGTTTGTCTTCGTCACGCATATCCGCGTACTCTTACAGTGAAACGCCACGTGTTGCCTTGGACGAAATAGTGTTATACCGTATTCTTCTCGTGTCGACTATTCATAATTGTATCTGGGGCCTTGGTAATTTGGGACTATTGACTTTTCAGATGAGTATTTAGTACATTAACGGTTGAATCGTATATATCATAATCGTAATATATTATAAAATTTGTTACGCTCCAGCATTTTGCGTGTAGCCTTCCAGTTAATTTATCATATTCAATATATGCATTTTGCAGTAGTACGTTATGTTGTTGATGATATACACCCATTCTGTATTGTAAAACTTGTATTTTGATGTAACAATTCTGTGTATCAATTTCGTATTGCTGTATTAAATGTCATATGCAATTGTATTATACCTCGTAGTCCAGTATTTATTCATGATTTATACGTCGGGAGTTAGTTCGATTTCGGCCTTCATAACAATGCCCAAAATACAGCTGCTTTAAAAATGAGCGTTCACCAGAAAAAAATGCATAGTCAACTACGATCAATAGTGTATCAATCATTGTATTGGTTGTACTTTTATTTGTGAACATGACGTCGCTTCTACATTTCATTTTCTCGTTTTATGTACACAATCCCACCGTGTGACGTCTGTGCACGTGTCCATAGTGACTGCATACTGAACTATTTTTTGTCATTAAAACAAACTATTAAACTCGGAAACATACATAGTACTCTAACGCGATAATCAATATATTACTTGACTGAACACACTATGTAGATACTTCTTAGAAAAATGTTATGAATAGCGGCTATTAACTATTAAAGCGCGATAGTCGTCGTGCCGCGTCCTGTTCAACATGGGACTCATAGCGACGTATACAACGCGTGTAAAATACATTGTTTATTTACATGAAATTCGAACACGCGCTGCGCGACGACCACCGCGCTTTAATTTCTGAGCGAACCGGGAGTACGATGACCACTCATCATGCGCCCAGCAATGGTTGGTCGCAGTTAGATCGATTTCTTCAAAGTAGAATTGACGTAAACTTAGAAAGTATCCCAAATGCGCGAAACTGAACAAAAAAGTTTTAACCCAATCCTCGTAACGTTGTACCGATTGTTGAGTGATTTGTTTTGAATTCCAAATGTGTTTATTGACTGAAAAGTTCTTCACACTCGAT